CAACGTGATGTCAATGAACTTTTGATAGAAGTCTGTTCGTATTGGTTTACTTATTTATTTATTTATTTATTTGGTGATTTGGTGATTTAAACGGGAGATCCCTTTGGTGCATAAGACAAAGGAGTGAACTTTTAAAAGAATTAATAGACCTAAACTAGGAGCCCATACTAAATACAGTAAATTTTTCCTAATTGATGCTCAGTTTTGGAACAAAAATTGACAATTTGGGAAGAGAAGGTACGGTTAATCGAGTTTTGCCTCATTTTTATAGTCACCGAATATCAAGAATTATAAAAACGAGCCGCAATGCTCGAATAATCGTATCTCCTCTTCCCAAATTGTCTATTTTTGTGCACAATCTCAGCGTCAATTAGGGAGATTTTTATTGTACAGTAAATTCTCCTTAATCGACGCTCAGCTTGAAAACAAAAATGGACAATTTGGGAAGAGGAGGTACGATTAATCGAGCCTTGGCGATTCGCTTTTATAGTTGTTGGCACTCTCACAACTATAAAAATAATAATAATCGTATCTCCTCTTCTAAAATTGTCCATTTTTGTTCCCAAACCGAGCGTCAATTAGAGAGAATTTACTGTGCTAGGACTGAAACAGTTAAAATGTTAAATATGTCATGAACTGCAGCGAAAGTAGCGGTTCTAAATGAGGTGGAGGCCATTAAGCAGTTAAAAGAATTTCAAGAATTTAAATGACCGTAGAAAGTGCGATGGAATTTTGAAGAATGCTCTACGTAAACGTGGTTTTGTAATCCCTCATTTTGACAGTCTTAATGTTCTATAAATATTCGCGTTGCTTCTTCTCTGTGCAGACATTGTTTCAACCCTTTAAGTAACAATCTCGGGCTCGCGTAATGCACGCACGTTGCTCAAAAACGTTGATTAAAAATTTAATCGTGACTAAATCAAATATATTGTATGCTATTTCTCATTTCACCTATTCCTTCACTTTTTTTTTTCCACTGAATAAAACGACCCCGTCACTTACCAAACCATATAATGACAGACCGATAGACAATTTTATCCTTGTTTCGCGGATCGCTTAAGCGATGAAACATACATGGCTTCGTTGCTCCCGATGCAGACACAGTCAAAGCGTTGTCTGCCAAGATAATCGGCGGCATTTTTATTACACCCGACTGGCTCCTAGTTGACAAAACAAGATATAGCGATTCAAGCCTCTCCACAGAGACTGGCTGAAGTAGGCATGGCTTCTTTGCTCCAGTTCTCAACGCAATCGAACCACTACTCCGCCGCCAACCACTGTCCTCGCCATAGCTAATCCCGCCTCGATCCACCTGGACAAAAGTAACAATCGATCACTGCCGGCAGCGACACAGGTTGCCGATGATTAGCACCGCGATGCCTGCGCAAAGAGTCGCGCAGCGAGCGCTCGCTGTCGAGGGTCGAGGGTCGCGGAAGGGTCGAGCCCAGAGCACAGGGACCGGTAGCTCGGGTCAGCAGTGGCTCGAAACCCGAGTCACGCAGGCTCCCTAGCGAAGAGAAGAGAAGAGCAGAGAAGAGAAGCGACGAGAAGCGAATCGGCGTGTAGTCCTCGCGCGCACCAGCGAGAAGAGCGAAGCCGTGAGTCATTCTCTCGCGAGCTAGCTACCTCGGCTGCATCGGTTGTCTCCTCCTCGCGGCTCGCACACGCCTCGTGTGCACGTGCTTCGGCGATATGTGCCAGTGCAGGGTCGGTGTCGAACAGCACCGGCGCGCGAGTTCGTTTTCGCGTTTTGACCGCGACCGTTGCCGCCGCCGCTCGTTCCCTTGGCACCTGGCGACGACCAGCCGACGAGAGTGCGTTCGCCCGACGTACCAGCGAGTGGTTCCTCTTCGTGGTCGCCTTCGTCGTCGTCGTCGTCCGCGTCGTTAGACCGCTGTTACGCAAGCCGTCCGGCCGCGAGCGAGTGCGTGGGACGATTACAGCGAGGATTACCGGGCTCGGTGCGTGTACCTGTTGCACGGCTCGCTTCGACGGAGAAAATTCGCCCCTCGACACGTGAAAAAGTGACGCGGAGTGTGCCGGCTCCGAAAGGGTCGTTTCGGAAACGCTACACGTTCGGCGAAAGATCCGCAAGCTCCGCGATAACCGCGATCGAAACTGATTCGTGAGCGAGCCGGCACGGCCGGAGTCGTTCTACCTGTTTGCCCATCGGCAGCCGCGAGTGTGTTGGTGACACGGAATCAGAGTGGAAGCAAGGTGCAACAGATAAGAGTAAGAATTTCGGAGCGGGACCACCGACTTCGATCGATTCGAGCGAGCGGGCACCTGTTGCTCCGTCTCGCTCTGTCCCCCCCGGGGGACCGTAGAGAAGGTAAAACACTGCTTTGCAGGTGACATGTATTTTCGTGCCGCGGCTCAATACCATCTCCGTAGGGTCGCGATGCAATTAACCGTAACGGCCGCGATTTACGACACGTCGCGCTAATCGGGCTGCGTGTCGCACAGCCTCTCCTCTCGTCCCGGCGCGGCGCAGATCCTTAAGGCTGTTGTAAACAGCGAGATACAAGCGCGATGCTCGTCACTGTCCGTGATTCACGGAGATACGATCTCGCGGCGAGATCGTGCGCCCCGGCGAACGTTTATGCGAAAACCAGACGGTATCTCCCGTCGTCCGTTATGGTCGCGGATCGCGGCGCGACTAACGCTTTATTGTGCGCGTTAACTCGGTCGCGCGCCGTTAACATTCGTCTTTCTGCCGCATCGGACGCGGAAACGTTGGGCTCCGCTCCGTTTCGGACGCTTAACCCGTCTATTAATAGAATCGCCGATGATCGCGGTCGAAAGAAGACCAGGACACGAATAATAATCTCGTACGGGGGTTATTAGAGTGCGACGACGAGAGTGACCTGTTGATTCGCGGGAATGTCTTGGACGTTGCGCCGAAAGCGTGTCTTGTTCTGCCGAGCGGTGTTCGCTGTCGAGTCAACTGATATTATCTAGACTAACTTCGGACGATAGAGGACCGAAAGCTCTGCGGCAACGAGTCCGTAGATTTCCGGATGGCTAGTAAATAATTCCCGGCGAAGCGACGCGTCAATTTCTTCAGTCGACTTTGCTATTTTTATTTGGCGTATTTAGTGCCGGCCTTTGCGACATTGTCCAGCTATTTCGAGCGGAAAACGTGGACGATTAATATTCAGCGATAAGTTTTCCTGGTCGTCCGAACGGACTCGTTTCGAATACGTTCGCGCGACACGTACCCGCCGCGCGCTAATTGCGACGTTCCCGCCGGAGTGGTATCTGCTTTTTCGATCGGCACCCGGGAATATCGGATGACGAGGGTCGCTTTTCGTTCCCTTCGTTTCGCACGATTTCAGCCTATCTCGCATGCCCGAGAGTCTATTTTAAATCGGGCCACCTATCGCTCTCGTTTTTAAACGCACTAAACGGTGATTTACAACCGGCACCGGAGGCCCCCGCTTCTTCCTGCCGCGCGATAAAAGACTATTTCCGGCGCTGGCCCTGGCCTTTTCGCCGAACCTCACGGCTAAGTACCTCCACGGCCACCGTGGATCCTTCGCGAGATCTCGTTGACACTTCCAGCGGCCACGCGAGTTCCCTGGAAACGATCGCGGCCGTGATTTACACGAAGTCGCTCGCCCGTCTGTCCTCTGTCGAATCGCGGGGGCGGTGACAGGCGCCGCGATCCGGTTTCGTGAAAATGTTATCGACAGTTATTTCGTTGATTCCGCAGCGGCGGATAAATGTTTGCTTTACGCGTTTGCCGGGCAATGTCTTTGAAGTTACCGCGTCCCTTTTTTTCTCTATCTCTCTCTCTTTGATCAGACGATCCTCCGCGAATCGTGATCGTCCCACGTCGATCACGCCGACTTTCGTCGTCGAGAGCCGAAATTCCCTCGCGGGACAAGTACGCGATTCTCTCTTTAGTGTCCCGCTTTTACAGCGCACCCAATGGAACGGTAATCGTCCCTTAACGTCCCGCTGAATCGGGGTCTCTGCGTTTCATAACTTCTCTATGGTAATGGTACGTATTATGGAACGTTTCGCAGGGGATATAAAATTATCATCGATTTTATTCCAAGTGAAAAGTGTTTTTATCGGATATTTGTACTACTGTTCGATAGATCGACGTTTCGATCTAAAAATAATACGAGCAAACTAGTATGGTACGAGCATGTGCCTATATATGAAACACGGATGCCAACCGTTCCATAAATGAGGACAATAACAAAAATGAAAGTACACAACGTTCTTGCTTAAGAACACCTGTATTTAAACATTATTCTTTTAGAGCAGATCGTTAGATAACCGTATTTGCGTGAATGAACATACAAAGAACGATGTTCAAAAATATAGGTAAAATGTTTACATCCAAATTTTTCATATGCTCTATCTACTTTTCATTCCATTGTTTGTGCTACTGTTTCAAGACAGGGCTACGATAAAGCGATGTTTCATACTAGGTGCGTTTATCTTGTAGAGAAAAATTAAAAATTGAATTCTTTCCGATCTTGGTCGACAGAGCCGATAAGATCGAAGCTTCTACTATTCGGCAGCGTTTCGCTTTGTCTCTCGTCAGGGAGCAATGGCCCAACTATTTGACAACGCATACGATGGAAGGTGGTGGTTGCACATTTACGAGCCGTGAATTTATGTGCGCGTCGGTTTATTAGCTATCTCGCGCGAGATTCGATAGAATGCCCTCTTCGCTCGCAACGATCTAGAAAGAGAGAGAGAGAGAGAGAGAGAGAGAGAGAGAGAGAGAGAGAGAGTCGCGTTGCCGATACAATCGCGTAATATAGGTACCATTATCGTTCCGGCACGCTCGTCAAATAAACCGATAATCGCCAGGCGATCATTACGCGGCGAGGCGCAGGTGCGAGTGCGAATAACACGCGTGTGGGTCCGCGATGTCGGTCACCCACGCGTCGAGCAGTGAGATCACCTTTATACTTTGACTTTCTTAGTCACGGGCTGTCAGTCCGTCCTGCTGAAAACCAATGCCTTTTGTCGCCTCGGATCCGCCCGCGGGAACCACGGGAAAGCCTCCAGGCCAAAACCGCTCTTTTGCGCTCTTTTGCTCGGCTCTGACATCATCGCCAGAAGTTGCAGACGATGCAGCCACGGGCAGGATGCGCTCGACTTTTCCGGATATGCGATAAAACGTTTTTATGGGATCGTCCTTGTTGCGAGAGCTTCATTGCAAACTGGCCGCGAGAACGTGCTCGTTTTCAGCTTCGTCTGTCCTTCGTCTTTCCGACTCAATCGATGCCAGATTGACACCACGACAATAGATCGATAGAACGGAGAGATAAATAATCAAATTTGCAAACGCGTTCTCTGAATCTGGACTTATTCGCGAACAATGAATCGATTGTTGCAGAAGAAGCAGCGAGAAATGGATTAAATTCACGCGGAGGATTTTCGAGGTTTATGAGATAGCACTCGCGATGAGATGGCCTTCTTTTTACGAACCCTCGAAATTGCCGTAGGCGTTGCAGAGCCGATAAGACAAGACCTTATCGAAATGCGATATCAAACAATAGAAATTCCCGCGGGAGAGATACATCGGTGAAGAGTTACTGGCGAGCAATTTCTCACGGAAATGTCGGTCGTTGGTTTTAAAAGGCTCTGTTAGCGATACACGAGACATTTCCGCGGATCCTTGAAAAAGGTCTCCCGTGTCGCGGTTTGTTTGCCGAACGGCTTATGGCCGCTCCGCTAAGTGATTCGGTGTCCCGCGAACCCGCCGATAGGGAGACCGCGATATTTACCAGAAATGTCACCGGCTACCCTTACCATGAAATGCTCGAATTACGCGCACTTGACGTACTCCGGAGAAGAGAGAAAGGAAGAGACAGGCAGAGAGAGAGAGAGAGAGAGAGAGAGAGAGAGAGAGAGATGTGCTGTATAAGGTGTCGCGCCTGACCATTTAAAAATGGCCCAGTTATAGAGCTCCGTGGGTCCCCGACGGCGCCTCCTCGTGCTCGATCATCCTCCTTCTCCGAGGCTCGCTCTGCGGCCGACGTGCAAGACGTATAAATCAATTCGCGCGTTAAAATCACCGGAGGTCCCGTTATTATTGTCCTCGCATTGTCGCCGCGGCGCCGCCCATCTCGTCTCTCTCGTTCGCGAATTAAAATGCCCCGTGACGTTCGTACGCGCTGGACGACAACTAACCAACCGATTTGTCACTCGAAGCGGTGCCCGTCCAGCTACTGGTGTATCTAAATTTTCTAGACCGCGCGCAATACGCTGACGGATATATCGTTACAATTTTCTGGTTAATGATCTGTTTACTGTGCCCGAGCTAATCTGTCAGTCGCGATGTTCAATTCCGCGCGAGCTCGCGAATCAAGTAACAAGTAACAGTGTTCTTCAACTTTTCTAGAAATTCCGGATCTTTTCTGGAAATTCTGGAACTTCTGAAACTTCTGGAACTTTTCTGGAGCTTCTGGAGCTTCTGGATCTTTTCTGGAAATTCTGGAACTTTTCTGGAAATTCTAGAACTTTTCTGGAAGTTCTGGAACTTCCGGAACTTTTCTGGAAATTGTGGAACTTCTGGAACTTTTCTGGAAATTCTGGATCCTCCGGAGTCAGTAATTTCTCTCGGAAATGCCAAATTTCGGGTTGCTGTGAATTTCCCTGTGCTAGTCCTGCGCCTACGTAATTTATTGCTACGTCGATGCTAAGGGTCGACGGAATGATCTGTTTGGGTGTGACTAGGATAGGTTTTTGGTACGTGACCCCATGTGGCCTCCGAATTGCCTTCGAATCATGGCAAAAAATTAGAGATAAGAAAGTTAAGTCGTCGTTTTTATTCTAGCATTATTAAGTATTTATATTAATGTAGACCGGTATATGCTGGTCACTGCCTCCTTTTGTCGACTGCCCCAAGTTTGTATAAGTATTGTTAGTATTCTCAGATCTGCCGGTTTCAATTCCGACCTCCGAACGTTTCTGGGAGAAATTACTGTACTTGTGACTCTAACCCGTTAGTGCTCCGAAGTTAGGATGATCTCTTCTCCGATTCTCTCCCTACGGCGTGAAACTGAAATAATATCGATTCTCAAAAGTGTACCTCGCAACAGCTGTGCGATTTTTTCGGGACACCATAACCGTTGGAAACCGAGATATCGAACCGATATTCGAGCCGTTTATTTTGAAAGTGGCATAAGTCACTTTGTTTTTAAGTCGATATATTTAAGGGTTTACGTTTTAACACCGTTTAAAAATATGGATGCTAACTTTCGAGAAGATTTACTTGTATTTGTTATCTCAGGATACTGATATTTTTCTCAGTATAAATAATTTCGTATAAACATTAAAAAATCACCACTTCTCCTGTCTCTTATACACATCTAGATGTGTATAAGAGACAGGAGAAGTGGTGATTTTTTAATGTTTATACGAAATTATTTATACTGAGAAAAATATCAGTATCCTGAGATAACAAATACAAGTAAATCTTCTCGAAAGTTAGCATCCATATTTTTAAACGGTGTTAAAACGTAAACCCTTAAATATATCGACTTAAAAACAAAGTGACTTATGCCACTTTCAAAATAAACGGCTCATTTTAAACAGTGATTTTCAGAACCTTCTCAATCCCCGAATGCTCTGTAAACCAGTCTATTCCGAACCTTTCTCTTTTCACTGTAAAGAAGTAGCGCCAAAAGGCCAACAATCTTGCCGCGAATAGGCGTGGCTTCGTGGTCTTCGATTTACAAGTAGCAATTTCAGCGCCCTGGTCAAACGGCCTAATGTCCCTGCTGACGTTGCTAGAGAA